GCAACAGCAGCAGGTGTGAAAATTGTTTGGAAATTTGATATTTTCGTCTTGATGAGTCAATTTGCATGGTTTTGTTACAAAAATTGTTTATGAAAGTACATAGCAGCTAATTTTGAAATTCATAATAGTTTTGGGGCGAAAGTGGCTCAAATTGTACTGTGTACTCTCTCAGAGTCAAACGGCAAAAACAAAAAGTGCGAATGTTTTGAAATGGTATAAAATGATTTGTGATCTTCCAGATGGGCAACATGCCAATGACCCCTGCAATCACTGATCTGACACGTCATGGATCATCTTCCTCTCCATCGACTACAAACTCAGACCCACCATATTCGCCAGAAGGCCTTCAAAACTTTGGCCTCGGAACCCAACGTTTGAACCAAGGAGTGATCCCGAACTGTGAGGTCCCGCCACAAATGATGAATCGTCAATTCAACCAAAACATGGCGCAGAACACCTCTCCAAACCCTCCACAAATGGTGCCACCGTCCTATCATAACCAAAACCAGAGCCAGCAACCGACACCGAACAGCTATGTCCAATCCATTTCTCCGGAAGCTGGTGATGGACAAGGGTTTGCACAGAGCAATCTGTACAACGCGTTGAATGTGTCTAGCGATGATAGTATCAATGGAGCCGATGAGATGCCTAATCGCAAGCGTCCACGCGTTGATCCATCAAACATGGATCCAAGCTACATTCTCAATGCCGCACTCTCTGGAAAGATTCCTGGGGAGCTTCTGGATGAGGGTGGTCAGCCGAGCATCAAATTTTACAAGTTCAATGAGGAACAGTGGTGTCCAATGTGCGACGCGAACGGAGACGAACTGGGACGTCTTCAAGTTCAAGTGCTCGCCGATAAAGGATTCAACTACTCGACGAATGACAATTGCTTTGTGAATCAGAAGAAGAATCACTTCCAGGTTTGTGAAGAAAAGAGGTGGCAAAATTCAGAATTTGTGAAATTTCAGGTTACTGTCAAAATTGAGGCCATCGATCCATCACCACCGCAATGCTTTCGTATCAATGGAACATGCTTCCCGATTGAGAACTTCCAGTTGTCATTTATGGGTGTCAAATCTGAGGTGAGTAATTTGCTGACATAGAAACCCCCAACACCTTGTAATGCCAGACTTTGGTGAAAATGTAAGGGTGGTCAAGAATAGGTTTTCTAGACACTTCTGAAAATCTGAGAATCAGCTAGCCGATTTCAGGCAGGTTAAATCTGTTTCAGTATCAAAAATCGCTTAAAATACAAAAAGTTAAAAAAAATAAGAAAATGCTCAGGTTAAAAAAATTATATTCTGAACTTGAGAAAATTACGACAGAGGGCTCTAAAATTGTCAGAGGCGTCTAGATAGACTATTCGCAACATGTTTGAAATTGTCACCAAATTCCGGGTTTGAAAGGTCTCAAGGTCCCTTTCTGAGTGGTCAATAATGCCTTCAATCTACAACAGTCATACCGAAAATCCCCCACTTTTAAAACATTTCTAAATTAGCAATTTTCAGCACCAAACTTCGGAAATCGCCATCCGTCAATCCACCACTGAGCGAAAACCGATTCTTCACACTCCTGTGCAATTCAAAATCGTCGAACGCCGAATGACAATTGTCACCGTTCCTCGTCTACACTTCTCGGAGACCACACTGAACAACCAGCGAAAGAATCTACGGCCGAATCCAGACCAGAAGTATTTCAATTTGATTGTCCGTCTCTACGCGACTGCTCCATGTGGAACAAGCGTGCTCATGATGGCATTCTCGTCGGAGCGTGTTATTGTTCGCGTAAGTGTATATGATTTTTTTGTGACCAAGTAGGTACTAGGCATATGGAGAAAAACAAATTTATAGATATATATGTATATGAAAGAGGATTATAGAACCGATTAAAAAATAGAAAAAATTCAATTCTGATAATAGGTATCTGTGTTAATGCGCTCTACCCAGTATGGGTGCTCATGGGTCTCATCGGTGTGCACTACTTCAAACTCTGGCAGCTCTTCATACGGCTCATCCACGATTGTCGCATGCTCAGGCAACACTTCATCCGTTTGAGTCGGCAAAATAAGATTATCTTCGGTGCATCCTATCCAAATTGGAATGGAATGATTATGAGTGTGTCCGCCTTCCAGTGTGATCTCCACATCGTAGTGATACTCAATTTGAAGCACATTCCAGTAGCAAATTTCAATGCTTGGAGGGATATTGTACGGGATGTGCATCGTGTGGATGTGGTTTTTTCGTCTTATCTCTTCTTCACTGACTCGAACAACTCTCTGGCTACAGTAACTCTCATCTAGCTTCACATTTGGCACTCGTAGTCGCTTTTTCTGCACCAACGATCCTTTCACATATATTGGATCACTTCCATGCAGAGCAACGATCACATGCTTCCCACGCTTGAAGCATCTTTGAGACAAATGTATTTTTGTAGCTCCATATTCTTCAGTGTACGCTGGCTTGTAAGCTTCTTTGGCCCAGGTATCGATGAATCTGTCCACTAGAAGCTCACATCGCTGTTGGAACACATTTTTGCGGAGGCTCTCTGTACTTGCATGAATCATATATCGAATTTCGTCCCCTAGAGTGGGCGGGAGGATGGAAGTGTCATATTGAGAATCGGAGAAAGGAAGTTGAAATCGAAAACTGTGCTCTCCAGGCGACAACAATGTGTTATGGCTCAAGTTTGCGATTGCTTTGAATCGCAGAAACTCGTACCATAATCCTCCAACTCTGACCTCACCGGTTAGTAACAGGCGGAGAGAACGCAACTGTTGTGGTTTGGAACTATTCATGATGAATGTCACACCAACATCTGCTCGTTCCAAAGGCTTTTGTTCTGACTCCATGACGTCTCAAAAGAAAAGATTAGGAGAGAAATAGAAACATGCACACACAACATACTTGTGACGGCGAGCTTCTCAATGTCAACAGAATAATCTCGCTGTGGGGGGCCTTCTTCTTCATCTTCTGAGTCGTAGTCGTCATCATCATCTGAATCGTCATCCACATCTTGGACACGCTTGAAAACAGGAACTGCTTCTTTTGGTCGCTTGTGTTTCTGAAACAACAAACAAAATAATAAGGCGCATTTGATTTCAGGCCTCGATTTTAAAAGCTCACCGCCACTTCCTCGTTGCAAATTATAATTGGATATTTGAAGACAACGGGCTGCTTCCTTTTCTGCATCTTGATTTCCAGCACTATTTCGTGTTTCACCAGCAACACATTCCATAGGGACATTGGAATAGAAATCAAACATTCTGGAGGAACCACCAAAGAGATAAATGAGTTGGTCGTCGACTTTTGCTCTTTCAAAATTTTGACAAAGCGTCGCGTTGCCAAATAGTTGCTAGGGTCGCTTTCTCTGCAGACAATAGGAGGATTAGAACTTTGAGATTTTAGGAATGGAGGCCTACCGAACTTCTATTAGTTGTGCCAATTTACACGTAAAATGCTCAATTACAGATTTCTCGGTTTTCAGTTCCCATCCCACTTGAATTTCCTCTCCATGACAAAACGCAAGCTTGTCCAAGAAGATTTGGCCATTTATAGGATCGCATTTTCTAAGAAAAATAATTACACATAACCCAATACACTCGCATAAACTTACTTATGCAGGATACTCCCGTGCTCTACACATTTATTAACCATGTGCTCAACCGGATAACACGCTTCGTGTGGCATTTTTAGAATTAATGATCTTCGAACATCAAACTTCTTCTCGACGTAGTTGTTGTCAAACCAGGGAGCAACAGAAGCACGTACACAGTAGATAATTTCACTTCCATCTGGGAATTTGATAGATGGAGGGAATCGGGGAAGCCACACATCTACCACTGCTCGATGGGATTGTTCTCCTGAAATAATAGATTTCAAAGTTATTTACAGGAGTCTGGAGCTTGGCTCTCAAGATTCCAATCACTAAAAATTTTTTGAGAAGGCAAAACAGACATAGATTGATAACATTGCATTCGCAGAATGTTTTTTGAAAATTTATAGTTTTTAGATATTTGGTGATTTCCGAAAGATACCTGTAACAAAAACACAATAACGAGCCAAAAATGGGTGTCTTGCAGAATTCCGAAAATATCTCGAAAACAAGTAACTTTCGAAAAATGGTATAAATCCAAAGTTTTCATTCTAGATCTGTTTCAAATCCTTTAAAATTTTTCAAAGCGAATGGAAACTCGACAACCGAGCTCTTAAAAATAGGGAAAATGGCCAAAAATCGATTGAAAAATGCGTTTTGTATAGTACTGTACCTCCCGGCTCTACTAGAACCCATTGTTGCTCATGAAAAAACTCGTATTGCAATCGGTCGCCTTTACAAACATATCCTCGAAAAATTATTTGAGCTGAGTGAATAAGGTCACTGGAATTGTTGATTGTAACATCCGCCGTAAAAAAATTATCCACTGAACTATCAAAAACGTCTGGACAGTTGACAGAAGTTACGTAAGCCAAATCCATACAGAGGAAAAATAGCTCTGAAACCGAAAAAAAAGAAAATGAATGAGAAACAAAAAGAGTCTGAGACCCCCACGCGCCCCGACGGTTGCTAACAACACATGAATAATTGATTTTTGCAGGCAACCAATCCTGGATCATTCGAGCCACCAGAGATGGTGGATGCCAGTTGGAACAAGAATGGAGGAGTATTGAGTACCACTGGCCCAGTTGTTGTTGGAAAATCCGAACCGCGTGCTCAGCTTACTGTAGATGGAGACATCTACTCCAGTGGTAGAGTGATGTGTCCATCGGATATTCGCTTGAAAGACAACATCACCGAGAAAGAAGCCAAAGAGGCTTTGGAGAATCTTCAAAAGTTGAGAATTGTCGATTACTTCTACAAACCAGAAGTTGCTGATAAATGGGGACTCAGTGAAGATCAACGAAAGCGTACAGGAGTGATTGCTCAGGAGTTGGCAGAAGTGATTCCAGACGCGGTTAAGGATCTTGGAGACTACTTGACTGTCAACGAGTCTCGTGTGTTCTACGAAACAGTTCTTGCCACTCAAGAGCTTTGCCGTCTCGCCGGAGACTTGGATCAGAAAATCGACGACAAGGTAGCAGAGATCTCAAAACGTCTGAGCGACTATGCCGCCAAAAAGAAGTTGCTCAATTCGGTGGCATCTAATCTAAACTCGGAGGGAAGATCCATTGCAACCTCCCAAACATCGCTAGACTCATCGGTGTCTACTACGACCCTTACCAACACCAGAAAGAACCGCCGTACCCGTAAAAACCGGAATAAAGACAATAAGGAGCCTCCAAAACCGAAAGTTTCACCACATACTGTAATTGGATTGGTGGGTGTCATGGCATTCTGTCTTATCGCCATGTCTGCTCTCTACATTCTCGATTGGCACAACCGCAACTTTGGATATACCCACGTCACCACCACTACCCCATCAACCAAAGAAGGACCAGGAAATGTTGTCATCCCTCTGGGTATGTCTTTTTGATGAACAATACTAATAATAATAATCCATCTTTCAGACCACTACGTTCCCTTACAACAGCCCGATGCCCCTCCGGTTGCTCCGTTTTGTCCCCTTGAAAAATGTCGAGAATACTGCTGCGCCGAATATGACCAAGACCACGCCGAGCTGGAAGTGGTAAGAATAAAAACCGCTAAAACTTCTTTATAAAAAACGTTTTTTCAGTCCGAATACGACGCTGCCAACGCTGAAGAGAATGATTATGCATTCAAAGCAGAAACTCGATCCGACTTCCATCTCACAGGATTTGGAAACGACGTCTATATCACCCTTCCAGAGACAGGATTGAAGATTGACGAACGTTACTGTATTGAGAAGAGCTGCGTGAAGAAGCAGAAGGTGTACAGCTTGTTCATTCCAGTCACCCGATACATGCCAAAGTTCTCGTTGGAAGTTAATATTGTGTAAGTCTCCTGGGCTTTTTGAGAGGACACGTTAAAAAAACGGTTTTTTTTGTTTTGGAAAAAAAACAGAAGATTTAGAAATGTACCGTAAGACCTTGCAAACTCAGATCATGACGATACCTTTTAGGATAGGTCTAGAATATTCTATCTAGACATTTCTGAAAACTGTAAAATCCGCTCACCAGTTAAATGAACTGTCATACCGAAAATCGCGTATTCTATTCAACAGCAACTTTCAAAACCGATTTTCTCTAATTCTAGGGCGCTCCAGAACATGGAATTTGTTGTTTATACTTAGAATCACACATATTTTTGTAAACTTAGTGGGTTTTGAGGTCACAGATGTTTGTTAAATTTTTTAGTGTTTATAAATCAGTTCGTAATTTAATATTCCTCATACTTGCAACGGGCCGGGCCGGGCCGAAGCGACAATTTTCCCGGACCTGCCCGTGAACCTTAAAATTTTCGAAAAAAAAATTCAAAAAAATCAGCTTATGTGCAAACAGCGGGCCGCTCGGGCCGGCCCGGAATTTCGCCAGTATGATATTTCTAGCGTGAAACAAATGCGAATAGCACAATGGTACTAAAATACAAACTGGAATGTTTTTTATTTTCGAATTATTCCAATGGCAATTCGAAAAAATCCAAATTTGCAAAAATCCTTCATGTTTCCATCAAAATCTGGGTTTACAGCATGTTGCGGTTTTTTGTTAAGGCATTACACTTTCAATAATCTTAATTTTTTCAGTGCTCCAAAATCCAAAGTCATCAACAACTGCGGATACATTCCGGAGTTTGACAACAGAAAGTGCGACGACCATCTTCATCCAGAACGTGCCGCAACCGACAATCCAATTTCCGAGAAGCAATTCGAGGGCACATATTTTGTCACCGCTGGACAATGGATGCAATCCGCCTATCGTTACCGCATCGGACCAAGTTATGAACTCTGCAACATCGAAAGCAACACATTTGGAGGATTCTACGAGGAATACAATCTCATTTTCTACCGCGCGTGCAATAGACCAAATGCGACTGCTGGTCTCGTTCCAACATATTAAATATTTTTCCGTATTTTCCGTATATGAGCAAAAATTGTTAATATTTCCCAAATTTATTTGTCTAGATACCATATTCTCTCGTCTACAGTGTATTTTAAAATATATATCACCCACACAAAACATTCCGGTTGTATATTAGCTCTCATCTTCTTCATCTATTTCGTATTATCCTTTCTTCTTGTTAAATGCCATTCTGAAATTCTATTGGATACATGCCAATACTTCCGGTTTGTCTAATACTTCATTTCTCATTCATCCTACACATTTTTTACCTCTTCAATTCTGTCGTCTCCACGCATTTTCCCTCCATCAACCTTTGATCTTAATATCGATTTTGTATGTAAAAAATGCCTCAAATTTCGCTCTCGTCCATTTCTGTCTCCCTCCCCTAGATCTAAAAATCACTTGTTTTCCACCACTATAATTTGTATCTTCCCGAATCCCAGTGTCTCTGAAACAAAAAAAAATTGTGCTTCCCTCCAATCCACTTGTAGCATCTCTCGCTGTTTTTTACCATGTAGTTCTTGTACGCGTACGTTGAAAAAATAATGTTCCTCTTTAAAGGGTTCTCTGAACATTTTTCAAGTTATCCCAGTAGCTTGAAAACGTATATTTAGACTCCTGCTCCTCCGTCCTTTTCTCCCCCAGAACAATCTCATTTGCACCCTGATGTGTTTAATATTTAAACTTGATGAATGCTGTAAAATATTGAAAACGCTGTTGAATAAAGTCAATAATTACACAAACTGCTTTGAACTTCAGTTTTTGAGAGAAAAGTAATAAAAATTCATACAATAAATACAGAAAAATAACCCATTTCAGTGAAAATACAAGAGAACAATACTCTTGGAGTCATCCGGGAAGAAGTGTATATAAAGAAGTAATTGAATTCAGTATTGTTCTGTCAGTTTTGCAAACCCGGAAAAAATCCTGCTTTGTGATTTTGCCTTTCTTGCCAATGTCGAATTTCTGAAAAATTGAGAAATGAAATTGGTAGGTTCAAATAACGTTTTTCCCCCAAAAATGCTCATTCAAACTTTGAGGTTAATTATCTCGATTTCTGAGAAAGATATGAAAGGTTTGTCTACTAACAATTTGTTTATCATATTATCATCGATATACCATCCGAGTCAATTTAATTGAAATTTTAGCAAAAAGTCAAACTTCATTAAGCCAAGGATGAAATTTTTTTCTAAAAACGACCTCAAAACAGTTTTTTTTCGACAGAATCGTCCTCTAGTGTGGATTTTTATTTATTAAGAAGAAAAGCCATCTTGAAAAATGATGATTTGCTCTAAAGTTTCGAAATTTTCAAAAACCGGGCCGGCCATGTGTAATTTTTTCCGGCCCTGCCCGGCCATGGCACGGCCCGGCCCGGTCCGGCCCGCGGGCCGGCCATCTTTTCCACAAGTATGGTTTAAAGTAGACAGTTTTGGTGGGGTTCTATTAGGGAAGATATGCCAAAAAGAATAACTTCCAGTGATAATTTTTTAGATTATATTGAAATTTGTTAAGCAAATGATGTGTTTTTGTAGACATTTTTTCAACCACAATTTTCCTGGGACATTTTGAAGCCAAATTTACGGAAATTCAAGATTCGAAAAAATCTAACATTAATGATATTTGCCCAGAGCTTCTTTTAATGTACTCAGAATGCCACAATTTTTTTCTGAGTTCATTTTTATTGAGAGCAAATTTAAAAAAAACGTTATTTCCGATTCGAAACTCTATTTTTGTGTGAAATGTTTTTTGTTTTTAATGCACTCCACCCACGAAATTGTCAACTTGGGGTCCTTTATGTCTCATTTGTTGTAAAAGATATCAAAAAGTGGTCAACTGGTAAAATGTTTATTATAATGTTTGAAATACTTTGTCAGTTGACCACTTTTTGATATCTCTTAAAGTAATCGAGATAACATGGTCCAAATGTTAGAAGGTTTTAGATTTTTACGGTACTCAAGATTTTTAAATTTCTCAAAAATGCTCTGAATTTTGCACCCTTTTTCAAATCTTTTTTTTTCTCCGGAAACTTTTTTCTCCGGAAAAATACAAATAAAATCAACCGGTAAATTCAATTATTAGTCTATAAGCTAATTAAAGGTGATAGGCGACCGGCATAGTTTGTGCACGGAGTAATGTATGTTTGAATCAAATGTCTTTCTCGCTATGGTTCAAATATTATTAGTCACCTACACTGCCATTTCAGCTCTGTCAACCCAGTATGATCAATTAACTACAAGTAATACCAATAACATATAAGGTACATCTGTGAGTCATCACTCACCGCAAAAACCTGGTTTGCACGCTCACATTTCTGCTCCCGAGAATGATGTGGTCTTGCTTGCCGACCTGAACATAAAAATGTTGAAGGGACCACATTCCTCAAAAACACTAACCCATTAAATCATCCATAGAAGTGATAACGTAGAAAAGTCTGTCCCAAGTGATCTCTCCTTTCTCCTTCGGGTCATATAACTTGTAAAGCCAGTCCAGTTTCTCATCCATTGTTCCACGACAAAGAATGGATAGAGCTTTCACAAACTCCTGGGAAGAAAAAAACGATTGCTTTTGACACATTTGTGTAACGAAAAGGTCTCACCTGAAAATTGATTGTTCCGTTGCCATCATTATCAAATGTTTCGAAAAGAAGGTCTGAGTAGTGTTCAATATCGCCGTGGGGGAAAAGTTCCGCAAATTTTTCTCTCATAATATCTGTAAGATTGAATGTTGTGACAAGTTGTGATAGCTATTTTACTTTTGTTGATGACAGCGTTCGGAGATGTCTCTTTGAAGGCTCGGTAGATGGCTCGAACCTCGTTTTTTGAGAAATGGGTCTCATCAACTACCTGCAATGCAACAATTGACGGGGTTTGGATCATTTAATAATTAGTCATAAAATGTCGCTTTGTCTTATCTCAAATCTACCTTATTCAGAGTCACATTCGAATGCAATGAGCCTGATAACTGTACAGATCTTCGAGAACCGAACCGATGATAGATCTTCTTACTATGAATATTCGAATCTTCAGGCATAAGAGTAAGTACTAGGAGCAAAGAATTTTCGGGCGAAATGACTGGGGTAGAAAGCAGCTCGCCCGGCGTTTTTTTCTTCTTTCACCGACTTTACAACATCCACAAACACCCTTTGGCCAACAGGAGTTTTAGTTGACAAGATGATATTAATGAATAAGTGGAGGGCATGTAGCAACATGTGTGTACATTGATTATTGAGTTTTTGTTTTGATTGAGTTTTAAACTGGAAGAAAAAGTTTTCATTGGAGCAGGGACAAGCGGGAATTGATGGATGAGTTGGTTGGAGTGTGGATGGACTTTAGTGTTCATTGAGAGAAATTTGAAAGGGACATTGGAGGGGTGAACAAAACAAACGAAATATTTTTCAATTTTCATCATTGCTTAATTTTAGACTGCTTAATTTTCAAATGTTTTTAAAAAAATCGTCTTCCCATAATTTTAGTTAACTAACAATTATGTGAAAAACGTGTTAATCCAGATATGTATCAAGTAAAGATGTTCAAAATTCGAAGTTGTGATAAAACTCTAAATTTCAAAATTTTAAAATTCTGGTATTCCCATTTTTCGAAATTAAGAAAATGACAAGACTCCAAAATACCGATATAGAAAATTTTGGAAAATTCAGATCGAAGAAAATTTCTAAATTCTTTTTATCTAAGTTCACTTTTTTTTTGAAAATTCGGAAATTCGGAAAACCCGTAAAAACACGACTTTTCAGAACTTCGATTGTTGAAATCTCAAAATATTACAATATTGAAGCTCCGATTTTAAAAACTCAGAAAATTACAGAAATTCGAAATTCAGTTTTTGGAAGTTTTGGAATATTTTAAAATGCCAGAATTCGGATTTTTTGAGAGTCCGGAAAATCACAGGATTTCGAAAATTTTATTTTTGAGAAATCGAGAAAATACAAGATTTCGAAATTACGATATTTTGAGATTCCAATTCTAGAAAGTTCGGATTATTCCGGATTTCAGTTCTTTAAAGATTTGAAAAATCACGAGATTCCAAATATTCAAGAATGACGACACTTCGAAATTCTGGATTTCGAATTTTAAGAAAGTTGCAATATTTCGAGATTCCAATTTCCGCAATTTCGGAAAGTTACGAAATTTCGTGATTCCATTTTTTTTTAAATTTTCGAATTTCCGAAATTTCTAATTTTAAAATTTGCAAACCCCAGGGACTCGAAAATATAAAGTTTCATTTTGCACACCCCGAATGTTGATTAGAACAAGTAGAATATATGAAAAACTGTCATATTCTACACCTTTTCGGCTTTAAACGACACGTCTCACGGGATTTGGCGAACAATTGCTAAATTAGCGGAAAAGTTGTCAAAACAGTTATTCAAAATGTAGATTTTAAATTTTTCGGGACTCCAATACCAATACCAATGTCCCTTCAATCTCAAAAACCATTTTCCCTCTTTTAGGTTGATCACAAAACACTGATGCAATTCCACCAATTAAATCGCTCGCGCATTGAACTTCCCATCCTTTCTCCAACCTATCTACCAACCTAGCCGTCACATTTCCGGGCACGCAACAATCTCCAAAACATTCCTCACTCCTCTTTGTCTTCTGCCAAATGAAAACCGCGACACGCTGTCTCCTAAATACTCGACAATCCTCCCATTGACGCAAAGAAGAGTTGGCAAGAACAGAGTTCAATCTCGTTTCTTTGCGAGTCATCGGGAAGACGATGCAAGATGATCAAAAGAAGAAAGAGAGATTTCTTATCTCTTTTCTCTTCCCAACTTCCTCTTATCTCGCAGCCTAATGAATCAAGTTGGCCATTAACTAGAATTGAACTATGCAATCTCCACTTTGTTGTTATCAAGGAAATTGAAAAAAAGACAAAAGCGATCAAGTTTCTCGTTTTCTCGGCTACGAATTTACCTGTTGAAGACTGGATGGTCGAAAAACATGCTGATGAATTGGCGAGAGTAGAGGAACATCAATTTTGTAGTCGAATCCTTAAAAGATCAACTTTTTAGAGATTGTTCAATGAAGTTGCACTGACCAATGACTGGTTCTTCACCTGGAGCGGGAAATGAGATTGCTGGGCGTCGTTTCCAACTGCTCATCTGAATCTGAAGTTCTCCAATTGGTTACGGTAACCGAAAGTTATCGAAATGAATGGAGAAAATTGAGGAATTGAGGAATCTTGGATTAAAAACTCTAGAATGTTTTAAGAGAATCGATCTTGAGCCTTTAAAAAATTTAACAAGATATCCGAGTTTTTTTTCTAGATAATCAAGTTTTTTTCTTTAGACAACCATAGTAAAACATATTTTTTAGAAAACGTGAGAAACATTTCATTTTTTATTACTCAAAAAATAATAATCTCAATTAGACTTTAGACGCAACTCAAATATTCAAGTGGTTTATTTCAAAGTACGTGTAACCTGAAACTTTTTGTCAAGTGACTAACCACTTAAAAAATAAATGAGACTCATTACAAAAAAAAATGACTGGAGCCGCCCAAACCGCCAAGTCAGTGTGGCAATCAAATTGACACGAGCCGCAGGGAGGGACCGAAATCAGTAGTTGGGAGCCGATGGATGAAAAATCCAGGCGGGGAAGAGGTGTCCTGTCTTTTCTTATCTTTGCCCCGAGGTTTTTTTTCCTCGTCATGCAAAAAAGAGTGACTTTTGAGTGACATTGCCGATGGAGACGCAGTGTTATTCGTGAGTTTGTATTGCTCATCCACGCCGGTGCCATCGCACGCAAAAATTGCATTGGATAAGAGAAAATGATTTGGTACGGGAAGGAAAAGATAGACAGAGCGGCGCGTCTGAGGCTATCAACACATGTTTCTTCCTGTTATTCTTTCCAATTCATTAGTTGTATCATTTGGGTTGGATCATGAAAGCCATAAAATGGGTTATTGAGTGGTTGATGTTGACCAGTTGGATCCCGGGAGCAAAGTTTTCAAGAACACTTATTTTATTGATAATTAAAGCACAAAATTAAAGCACAAAACCCTTCCCAGTAACCGCAAAAATTCTAATATTCCAATTTCAAACTAATAAAAAATTACATAATTGAGCACATTTTTTGTTTTGGAGCTTTCACATTTTCGAAATATTCCTCTGCGGTTTGCACATTTCCAGGTGGATCATACTTCAAGCACACGTAGATATGATCAGCTCTTCCGCGTTTGACGATAGTGACGCCCACACCAATTTTGGTACTCGATCTCCACAGAAGTTGCGTGAAATGGCCTTTTTGAGTCCAGGAGTTTGAGTTGTAGCTGGAAAAACAATCTGAGTATGAAAAAAGAATACGCTTCATTGTTTTGGTAGAAAAATTAAAAGTCAAAGTTTCAAACAGAGAAAAGCCGTGATTTCAAATATTTTTACTTTCAAGTTAGTTTTGCTTTCACTGGTTATCGTTAATTTTTCTCTACCTTCTTCCAAAAAGTGAAAAAAAATTGCTTGAAAATTAACAAAAAATCGAGAAAAACAGCTTAAAAAATTTTTGACGTTATGGTAGCTTTCGTTCCAGTATTTTTGTTCTGGGAACACATTTTTCTTGTCATAATATAAAAGAGACCTTACCCTGAATAATCATAACCAGTTCCTTCTGTGTAGAAGGATTGAATGATTCCGGCAGCACAAGTTTTGGGATCAGGAAAGTAGACTGCAGCAAAATAGCTCAAATTTTCTCCGTATCTGAAAATTTGACTATGTACTTAAAATTGATTCCCGAAGTTTTGGAAAGTTCAGAAATGATCAGGTTTGTAGCATGCATGACCGGTAAATCTTGCATGAACGACCTACCGTAAACAATAGAATATGAGGCCACCCTATGTTTGAAGTTTGCGCTCAATTATCTCAATTTCTGTGAGAGATAACAAAAACTGTCAGCTGATAAAATGTTCATCAAAACATTATCAACATTTCATTAGTTGGCACATTTCTGATATCTCTGATAGGAATCAAAATGATTGATATCGAAGTGCAAATTTAGGTTGACCTTCGATTTGTGTGCTTACAGTATTTTCAAACTTTCAAAGTACACTCACATGGATGGATCCTCATGAATCAGACACTTTCTGCGATGAGCCATTTCGTTTGCCCATTTTTGAGCAGCACTGTTCAATGTACTATCTGTTGACAATGGCTTAGCCTGATGGTATGCACGATATTTGTTGTGAAAATGAACGAGAAATTTTTTCAAACTCTCCACGTCATATTGAGCTGGGTCAACTTTTACTTCTTGAGCTTTGACGTCCAAGTAATTCATGACGGCGTCGAACTACAAAGATTACAGTAGAAGAGAAAAAATGATGCAATAGCCTTACCTGCCCAATTTTGGTCAGTTCTGGATCCACACCAGAGATGCGAACCGGCATTTTCTGAAACTCTGAAAGAACAATTCAGAGAAGCAAAAATATAAAAAATGTATGAGAATTCAATAAAAGTCACAAGAACAAAAAAACTGCGATAGATGATCAGCAACAACATGGGGAAATTTCTAGCTGAGCAAACAAAGAAAAACAGGCTGTGGATTTCACAGTTTCTGACTCATTCGAAAAAGATTTCAAAATCTGATATCAAATTTCAGAAACCGAAAAATGAGCGAAAAAATGCGATTCGAACGTTTTGATATGTAAGAATGGCGATGTATATGTTTTTATGGCTTTTCTGTTTCTTTTTTTCGTCTGCAAACATATGACATAGGAGAAAAGCGTTTATTGAAAACGAAAAAAGAAAGCAAAATAGAACAGGAAAAGTGAGATCTGGAAATAATAGGGAGGTGGAAATTTACATTTGCCCGGTTATGTATGACCTTATTATCATAATCACCACGTCGAATCCAAAATGTCAAAAAAGAACATTGAAGCTAACAGAAATTCAGGCTACAGGTCGTTTCACGTTGTTCAAATATGCCTTATGAGACTCCATATTTCCAGCAGGATCATACTTGACAACCACAAAAATTAAGTACATGTTGGGTGATCCTCCGGAGACACATGGAGAACGGATAGAGCTAGATTTGACGATGGACACTCCAACTCCAATTTTTCTAGAATCCTTCCAGATCAGTTGAGTGAAATGACCGGTTTTGAAGAATGACATTGGCTTCCAGCTAGAGTAATTGTATCCAATTCCTTCTAAATAGAAACTTTGGATGATGGCTGCTGCCAAAGTTTGAGGTGATGGAAGATGGCGAGCACCGAAAAAGAACAGGTTTTCACCGTATCTAAAATAAATATCAATCATTTTCACACCTGTGGCGCCATATCACTTACGTTCTTGGCTGTTCATGAACCAGACACCCACGATGATAAGCCAGTTCGTCAGCCCATCGTTTGCCACGGCTTTCAAGAACCGGATCAACGATTAGCGCTGGAGCATTGTGTTTGGATCGGTAGACGTTGTGGTAGGAAACTAGCCATTCTTTGAGACTCGGAATGTCGTAACGAGCTGGATCGATTTTGTCGACTTTGCTCTTGGAGAACAGATAGTTTTTGATAGCACCGATCTGAAATTTTAATATTTATTGTAAGTTTTACAGGAAATTCTTCGAATACTTACATTGCTCAAGTGCTTGACATCTGTGTTAGATGGAAGTGATGACACTTTTTGATCCTTTTTCTTCTGATTAGTCAGTCGGCTGAAAAAGTCCAAAGCTCCCCCATTAACATCATGAAGAATTGAGTTGCTCCATTGAACTTTCTCAATTTCCGTTCTAGATGCTTTCTCATTGTCCTCCTTAACATCTGTTGAGTATGTGATCCTAATTTTCGAACTCTTATTGGTCCTTAAGATTACGTCATTCTTGGTGGTCCTGACCGGAAGCATTTGATATTCTGGAGAGGTGAGAATTGTAGAACCAATGAACACTTTGACAAACAATTTATCGCCTTGCTGTAATAGTGACCTTTGAAGACGAGTGAAAGTGTTAGGTCTTGAAACAACAGATCTATCAAAAAACAAAAAGTACAGTACCTCGTTCTCGATCTTTGTGTTAATACAAGAACCGGTGCCACAGTTCAGGGAGCTGGAGAAGAATCTTGCTTGTGGGATAGAATCATCCAGCTTTTTCCCTCTGAAAAAAAACCATTCATTATTTCTTTGAAGGGATTACTGTACTTTTGAGCGTCCGCGCAGACACATTGATTAACTTGCACATTCCTTTCCGTGAACGTCTTCGGGCATGAGCAGAATTGAAAATAGTAGTATTGGTTTTCTAAACCATAGATATCACTTCGCTTGAGTCCTGTATACTGGCGAACGGATACCGTAATCTGAAAAAAATGGAAACGTAGAAAGTGGAACCAATAACAAATGTTATGATCTCCTTACACTTTTTGTATCAGTTGTCGGTAAGATAAGAATAAGTGAAAAAAGAGCGAGCGGTAGTGACAGTGACATCTGGAGAATGAATGATAGTCTGGCTGGGTTGCGGTTGCGGCCAAGTTTGAATAGGACAGCGATTTTTTTTTCGGAAGCGGTGGGCCTCTATGGGCGGGCAGAATGGGATATCAATGACCTTGGAGAGAGTGTCAGATAAGAAGGGAAAATGATGTAGTAGTAGTAGTATTAGCCGCGTGTGTGGTAGGAAGAAAAGAGTGAAAGGCTACTTATCCTTCTTTTTTGTTGCCGAATCACGTATAGTTAGGGTGATCTCTTTTATATCAATGTAGGTAGAGAGGAGGCGGTTGAAAGAGGCGGGACCTGAAGGACATTGTACTTTGTGAATTTATTTCATCGTTGAAAAAAGATAGAGAATACTCATTCCTGTTTTTTTCTGGTCGTATGATACTGTAGAAGTGGGTAGCATTCAAATGAAGGACCGGAAAACGAATTCTTGAAGTGTTTTGGAAGTGCAAGGTGTTAGAGGGGACGAGAACAAAATGAAAAATAAAAAAAATAATTGAAATTTTGAAAAAATTTAGAAGTGCAAAAAACTCGGGTTACTGTAGATTTTTTAAAAAAATTTTCTGATATAGTTCGTGTATTCAGATGATGGACGAAATTACTGCATATTTAAAGGCTGATCGTGCTGCAGCTTGATTATAGCCTACTGTATTGTTTGAACATGATTGACTACTGTAGCATCATTATACATTATTTGAATAATTTATTATTTACGGTTCCATTGCTTTGTTTTTTTTGCACAAACAAAAATGAATATGACCCTTCGCCAAAGAAGAGTTTTGGGATGAAAATTTGAAAAAAAAGAGAAGAAAAGTGATACAGAAGAATCAAAAGACAGAAAAATAAAGGGCAAAAATAGAAGTAAAGTGCACCACACCAAGTTGAATTAAAGAGAAAATTTGAAAAAAATGCGAAACATGAAATTAAAGGATCCATAGGAATTAAAACAATGGAACACCGGAAACGGGAAGAGTGGGAAAAAAGTGACTCACACAAATGAACACGAAAAGAAAAATTTGAATAGGACAAATAAATTAAAATTAGCCCATTTTCTCTCTCCTTCAAAATAATTCCAGTTTTCAAAGTTTCCCAACCTACGGATCGTGGGAAAAATAAATTAATCACCATTGAGGGAAGGAACTGTACAGAAGAGTGGCTGGCTCGTAGTTCAGGAATGGATTCTGGATGAGTGGGATCGTCGTGGGCATCATAGTGGGCATCATGAGCGATGACAGGTCAATCGGGAGCGGATTAAGCGCTTGATTGGGCTGCAAATCAGAAAATAAACTATAATATGATTTTCAATTTCTATACCACAGCCTGTGTTCTTCCCCAAGAGCATCTGACTTGATTCCCAGCCAACTCTTTCCCGTTCATCTCCATGATCGCCTTCGTGGCACATTCCTTCTTCTCATAGCGCACAAAGGCGTAACGCTGCGTTTTGAAAACACGAACTTCCGCAATATCACCATATGTTGAGAACGAATCACGAAGATCGACGTCTGCGAAAAAAAGGGATATGGAAACATCTGATTAAGGGGAAAAAAAGGAGAAGTGAGACAGTCATTTATCAAATCCTCTGTTCTTTGCTAGACGACGGAAGTGTCAAACAGCAGTTTTGGGGGGATATATGATATCCTCATTTCCGATAGAAAGTTTGTTAACAAGATATGGGGAACTAGTTCTAAGATGAACTGTGGGAAATTCGGAAAAAGTGAGATGATCCGAGTGGAACGAAAATTCAAAAAAAAAGACGGGTAATTCGAACATATTGTATCATTGGTAGCTATTGGATCAGATTTTTTTTTTAAACTTTTGAAAGACTGTGGAAAAGACCAACTACAGTACCGGTCAATAAGATATACAAAAAAAGTTTTTTCAGTCGATTTTTGCCCATTTTGACAGTTTCCAAAAGTTTCGAGCTTAATGGTCAAATTTGCAATCAATGTGAAAATTTAAGAGTGTAAAACGAACCTAGATTGAATACTTTTTGCTCACATAATATTTTTTTAAATGCCTAGTTTTTTAGATGTTAACTGAATTTGAAAAAACCCTGTTCGGCCTGTTTTGGTACTGAAAACGTAAAAAGGCATTGGTCTTTCAGAAAACGGCAAACGTACGAATTTCAGAAACTTCGGAGAATACCATATTTTTATTCTAGGTATGTTTTTCACCCTCTAACATTTTCAAATTGATCGGAACCCTGATATTCAAGCTTCAGACTCCTGAAAAAGCTAAAATCGCCAAAAAAAAACAACCGAAAAACATGGTATTTTATTGACAAGTACGGTAGGTAGCTTTAGGTATCTAAAAAAAATAAAACGTTTTCAAAAAGTGAAGGATCTAAATCTTCACTTTCGAAGTTAAACATTTTTTGAACGGATATAAAAATACTCCATTTAAAAAATGATTTTCAAAAATTGCAGATGTTTGAATTTACTGAATTTCTAAAATTGATTAAAAAACTAATTATTTTTCAGTAGGGGATTTCTTTTAAAATTGTGTAAGAAGAAAATATCATTGTTAAAACCATACGAATCTTCAAAGTGCATCACATTGTTTCAAAACAAACATTATCTCGCCTTCTATTTTGTTCTCTGCCCTCATGTCTATTAATTTGTTTAAAAAAAACACTCCAAGTTCACTTACCAGTTGTTTGTGGACTAATGTTTCCGACATAAACTGACGTGTTGTCCGCTTTTGTCGAGTTGAACACCTGAAAATCCCCTCAACTTGATTGTTTTTCGCACTTGTCACCAATCACACCTGTTCGAAAGTCAATTTGTCTCGATTCTCCTCGCTGTTTTTTCGTGCCGCCCAGTTGGTCCGCACCGCCCGTTTTCCAATCCATTTTCCGTTCATGCCCGAGATCGCGTTCTCGGCATTCTGAAAAGTGACACTTTTGTTGTGAGGGATAAAAATCGGAACGATTGGGGGTGTAATGATAAAAACATTGCTTACTTGTTTGTTGGGAAATGATACGAATCCGTATCCTTTTGATTTCTGCGTCTGAGCATCTCGAATCACTTTGGCTTCGCTGTAAATTATGAATTGAAACAATGGATCAAAATTCAGAAAATTGATTTTTTATATTTTTATAAAATAAGAAACCAGAAATTCATTGAGTTACAGATTTTGATTATTCAAAATTTTCTGTTATTCTGATAATTTTTGGCTTACCGATATAGTTTTTTTTTAGTTGGTATTTTCATTACAAAGAAAGTGACAGTTTTTCATTCGAAAAATTACAAAAACAACACTTTTTTGATTCATCAAACAACAGTTCATATTTTTCTTAAATTTATTCGTTTTTTTTCGAACTGAAACACCGTAAACACACTAATACCATGTACTAATACTTTGAGACCAATTATCTCTGTTCCTGTGTAAGATAACAAAATACTGTCAATTAATATAATGTTAATCATAATATCGCCAACATTTTACCAGTTGACACATTTTTGAAATCTCTCACACGAAATGAGATAGCTGAGCTCAAAGTACAAGTATAGAATGACCTTCAACTAGTGGATTAAGGTGGCTTTGTTCCAGATCATAAAAATTCCAAATACCCAAAAAAGGAGAGACTCAAACAGATTTTTGTAAAAGTTCATTAATCCGAAATCATTTTGAGGTTTGCTGAAACCCTAAAAAACTTCAACATATCCAAAATTCAGTGCTCGACCCTCACCTGACTTCTCCAAATTTTTGAAACGTCGACTTCAACAATTCGTTGCTCACATCTTTGCTAAGATCACCAACAAACACATGAAAATGCTCTGAAAATTCCATTTCCCAACTATTTGATTCCATTAATCCGTTAGTTTTCCTGCTAAACCTTTCAATCACTTTTTCTCCTTTTTCATCTCTGTCACACCTGGCGAAAACTGTTATCATCTCATAAGACGTGTGATTTTGAGAGAAATATTGCTAGTTAAGGGTAAACAGTCGGCGCCAACTGAAACCAAAGAGTAAACTGAGCGAGTGATACAAGAGAACGGTTTTTTTCGAGGTAACAAAAAGTGAATTCGTGCGCTAAAGTGATTGATAGCAGAAGATCAGATGACTTATCAATTTTCCCTTATTATCTTCTTCAGTCTGTGAATTTTGGCCAAAAATAAGAGGTGTTGGATGAAGGAAAGAATTGAAAAATGATACGATCTTTGTATGTATTTCCAATTAATACACTTACTGCTCGTATCAATGCGCATCTCCATCGGCGGCTCCGACGCTGAGTGCAACACGGATGATTCCTGCAACGCCAAATTGCATTTGGAGGGCAAATGAGAATTCGTAGTAGTAGCTACGATCAGAGGAAGAGATTGGAGGGACAAGCGCGAAAATGGGAAGCGGAAAAACCCACAGAAAAAAACAACGAAAGGGGGGGGGGGGTGAGAAACAAGCGGAAATGGGCACAAATGAACAAACCAAGGAGTGTGGAAGGCCGATGTGGGACAACGAAGGCAGGCTCGCAGTCTGCAACAGCAGAGGGCACGTGTCCAATGATGGAATTGTGGCGCCGTGGGTCTGAAGTAGCTCGCGCAGGTGGAAAATATTTAGAAGGAAGTGAAACACCTGTATTAGGAGGCAAGGGGGGTTGATACTCACATGTAGAAGTCTTGCCGGTAATTGTGTGTAGAGAGTTTCAGAGGCAGATGCTGAGAATAGAGCATTGGCGATGGAGGTCTCGCAGCTGGAAGGCACATCAACGCCTTCTGAAAGTTCGATCTTGTGGTTTTTTTTTTCTGTTTCGGGCAATGCTGGACTTGATAATGAACTAAACACTTGAAATTTATATGATTATAGTGAGAAATCAATCACAAAGTTTATGAACTCTCAAAACTGTAAATGCGTCTTCCAAAATCAAACTGCTCATGGCTGAACGATACCAGAAGCCAGATCCTATGCAAATGTTTAATTTTTATTTTTACATTTCTTCAGTGTATCGTCAAAATGTTGTTTTAATCAGGCTAAGACAAATCGTCAGGCTGAAAACTCATTCAAAAAACGCAACGTCAATCAGTAGCAAAAAAGTGAACCTTTGTTTGAATAAATACATGCGCCTGCAATACCGTATCCCAAAAGTATACTATTTTCATCTTTAATATTTTTTCGCAATTTGTTGATTTTCTTACAAATTTTCAGGGATTTTTAAACGTATTTCTTTATAGAAGTGAAATAGCAGACAATAGTTGGTCCAAATAAGTTAATTTTGGAGTACGGTATAGAAGGCGCATGCATCTTTCAAAAAAACCTTTTGTTGTGTTCGCTTCTGGACCGTCGATGCACTTTGTAATCAACTTTGAGTCGTAAAATTCGTTGCCGATGAAAAAGAATAATAAATTTTAACTTTCAGCTTTTTTTTCGAGTTGAAATGATTTCTTCGGGGATTTTGACTTTCATTTTGATTTTTTTGTGATTTTTTTTGCTCGTAACTTGTTCAAATTTTTTCAGCCATTCGTATTTTTACCCATTCAATTCTTGATTTTTTTAAATTTCTACCTTCACAATTTTCAATTTTCCCACCCAACCCTTTTATCTAAGTCTCAGTTCTACAATTAAATGCTCCAATCTACCATAATATATCCCAAAACCAAATCTTCTCTCAAACCCACCTTCGCCTGATGCTGCGATGACACATAATCGGCATCATGCACCGAGATGAGGTCCTGTGTGCGTTTCAGCTTGATTCCTTGACTAACACCACGACGTGGTGTTTTTGAACTTGTGAAAAATTTGGGTTGAAAAAAGAAGAACGTTCCTGAAAAAAAAACACTGGATTAGCATACTCATCCTAGGAAATGAGAACGAGAAGAAAACATGTTGAAAAAAGAAGAAAACACAAAAAATGGAGGAGATTTGTCTTGAGTCCCGAAAGCGGCTACTGCTAACAAGGTAACCGAATTGTGATAGATTATTGTGAAGAGGAATAACAAAAAAACATAACGAAAAGGATTTCCGGAAAAAAAGGTACAATATTCATTTTTCACTGCCAAGCATCTTCTAGGAGCAACATGATGATGCGCTTCGCCTGCTCCTCCGCTTAGTCCCATGGGGGAAATGGGTGGAGAACTAATTAAGAAAGTCGAAAACAATAGAATATATTGAGGTGTAGACGCTATTCCGGAAACAAGAAAAAGGCAAGAAGAGAATGAGAAAAAAGAAGAGGCGGTCCGGCTACAAAAACTTAGTGGGCCCTTTTTCGATTAGTCTCTCCCGACCCCATCCTCATTCTCACGATCGGCTCAGGGATGAAGACGAGAACGTTTTGGTTAATTTCTGTGACTTCTCGCCTTGGTTCCCACATCCAGATTTGTCGAGTTGTCCCCTCCCCTTGGATGTACCCGTCCCCATTTTATTTCCTCTCATCCCTAAGTAAGCACCTCTCAAGACCACCACAATCCCCCGGCACTTTTTTTTTATACGGCGTCATTCTTTATGGGGAGCCAAACAGAGATTCTTTGCCCCGCCGTCTTCATCCTTTTTCGTGTCTCCTTGCTTTCTTCCATTTTCATTTTCCTGTTCATTTTCTAGTAGTCCATTAGTCTCTACTCGAAAAATGAGCAACCAGTGGGATATGTTGTGGGTTGGGGTAGGCGAGAGGGGAGCGGTAAAGGGAATAAACAAATGATATTTGGTGGGGTGGAGAACGAAAAATTGGGAACAAACGTCTTCAAAAAGAAACAGAAAGTGCCAATCCAAATCGAGAACCACCATCAGCCAAAATTCATAGATTCATGCATCTGAAAGAGCATTTAGCAGAGCACCGGGACGAACGAAAAAGGGGACACTTGAACAAAAAATGCTTTAATGCTGGTAAAGAAGTCAAGACGAGAGAAAAAAACGCAAATGTTCCTGTTTTTTGGAACAATACATTTGGATGAGGGAGGAAATATAGAAAAAGAGGGGCGACGGAAAAATCAACACAATCACCGCAGGGTCTCAAATTATGACTAATATCTGGTCTGGTTTTTGCAAAAAGGGAAAAAGAGGAACAAATGTCAAAACACGTAGGGTCAAATGGAGCATTACTGTACAAAACAATTGTGAATTTGAACTACCGTATTTTCCTTGATAGAAGCCCACCCAAACCTTCAACGTTGAGCTCAAATATCTCGATACCTGTAAAAGGTATGAAAATTGTCAACTGACGCAATGTTGTTTTTTTCAGGAAAAATATTATTTCAGTAGACCTGTTTTTTTATATTTATCAGAGAAATTGAGATAGTAATATGCACGTATCGGTAAAGCTTTGAACATTCACGGTATGTAGAATTAAATCTAAAGCTTTAAAAAATCATAATTACTTTCAAAAAAGGTTTGAATCAAAAAATTCCTGAAACACGAATTTTTGAGTTATGAATTTGGACTACTGTAGAAATTATTTCCTAGGTGTGTCTCTGAATAATGTTTGCAAAACTGCGTAATTGAATTACTTTAAACTTCGCGAAAAAATCTCAGGTTGGTCGGTTTCTGGAATTTAGACAAAATTCCACTTTTTTTTTTTAATTTTTAGGAGTTTCAAGAAATGAATGCAAAACGAGATTTTAAAGATTTTTTCAAGAATTTTGAAAATTATTCTATTTTTATGTAATTCTACAAATGTTTTTACAGATTCCACTGTAGTAAATAACTTTGGTCAGAACCAGCTTTGAAATAAAACAAAAAAAATTTGTAGTCAATTTTAAGAGTTGTTCTGAAGTCCGAAAAAGTCAAAATCTCAAAAATATTGAAATATCCATCGACACTTACAATTGTTGAAAATCGGAAAAGTGAAAATTTCCGATTTCTCTCCAATCGGAAACCGATTTGTTTATAGCCGAGTACTATAAACTTGCAAGCCAGTTGCAAAGTTCTATATAAACGGAACAATGATTTTATGCAAAAATATAGTTAGGAGTTGATATTCTGAAAGTTCACAACATCTTTGCCTGATTTTTATAATTCAAAATTGGCAAAATCAAATTAAACCGAAACAAAATATTGGATGGAGCTCAAAAGTTAAACACAATCAATTGCGTTTGATTTTTCGAACCTGAGAAAAATGTAAATTGTGCTATATGATCAAGCCCACATCGCACATAGACCCAAAAAGATTGGATCACTGGCCAACAACACAATATATAATCAAATCTCGGAGGGGTGGCCGCCCATTAAATTTAGGTTCGGAAACACATATCTAATCCACAAGGATATATATGAGAAAAATGAGAGCACCGGAAAAAGGAAACGATGATGGGAGGAAACAAAATGGGAGGGCGCGTGTCGGAGTCAAAAGAGGATGCGGTAATGAGAAAATGAACGAGAAGAAGATGAAGATTTGGTTAGAGAGGGTCAGAGGTAAAAAGCAGAGTACCGGAAGACACGACAAAAGGACCGGGCTCTAGCAGCAAGCACACCATATGGAATAAAAACATTTTTTGAGCCTTCTCTCTTCCAAAAAGGTATACATGTCTGTGACCAATATCAATATTCAAACATTTTACTTTGACAGCACCAAAAACGATTTGTAAATTGAAAAGAGCACTATTACGGAACACCTATTCAAGTATTCTGTATTGACGAAGAAAGAGTGACAGTGAAGGGAAAATAGATGTTATGTCTGGAGATGGAAAAAATGGTGAGGGAGACAAGAGAAGCGGATGCGACACTTCAGAAATGAAGAAGTTCTGGCAAATTGAATTGGCAACACTTCATAAAAGAGGAGAGAATTTTGAGAGCTCGAAAATTTTTTTTTGAAAGTAACTGTATTTTGAACATGGGTGGGAAAATTGAAAATTATAAAATTTTCAAAAAAAATCTGATTTTTTTTTATTTTTCTGGGATACACAAATTCTTTGTAAAAGACATCGTAAAGCTATCAAACAGGCCAAAAACCATAGAATCGAAACTGGGAAAATCACATTGAAAGATATTAATGTTCAACTAAAATCAGTCACAAGGAATCTGTATAATCATATCGGGTCCTAGAAATGGTCTGAAGTGAGAATAACAGTCCGGAATGAACATTCGCGATACGTTCAATCATTTTTCGATTAGTAATGGAATTTTTATTTGCTTGTTTATGGAGGGCAAAATATGATTCGCCACAAAAATGACTCACTACTATTATTCATCACTTCAAAACAATTTCCCAAAATTCAATAAAAAGAAAAAATATTTTGAAATTATCCAGAAAGTATAGGAGACTAAACATCACTCTTCATTTTTTCGGGGACCCCTTAACTGCGATAGAGCCAAAAAATTAGAAAAAATGTCTAAACGTTTCAGAAAAACAGAGAAATTCCAAATCCCTCAGAACTGAAAATAAAGAGTTGAAATTTGAATTTTAAAAACAGAAAAAAATGAAACAAATTTCAGAAACTAAAGTTGTCCATTTTTTAGAAACAAGGACATTGAATTCAAACGAGGACAAAAAAGCTAGAAACAGAAAACTCAAAATTCTGAATTCTAAATTAAAAGGAATGCTCAAAATTCCTCGTTTACAATCAAGAAAAAAAATGAAATTTTTTAATTATTTGACTGTCGCGAAATTACAGAAAATCATGGAATTTGGTCAAAAATGATCCTAGGATTAAGAGCCGTTCCAAATTCAGTTTCCGAATTTATGGAAGTTAAAGGGTGTTTTTGTGAAGAAAACAAATAAAAAATAGAGTGTTCTGTTCGGAAGAGAACGAAAAATCATTAGATGTTCTATTTTACAAGA